TAGATATACCTATTCCATATATTCTATCTAGAAGTACTTCTTTTTTATTCTCCCTTTCTATTTACTAATCTAGCCCTAATCCTATTTACTACTTTTCTAACTACCTAGCCCCTAAATAAGCTCGGCTCCTACTATCTAGTAACGGCCCTCCCTAGCTAAATCATAATTATTTCCTACCTACTAACGTTAAACTCCTATTACTAGCTACTATAGTGTCTAAATCTAATCCTAAAGCTAAGGAAAAGATTAGTAATACTTAGACATATACTATAAGCGTAATAAGCTAAAAACCATAGAATTAGCCTAGGAATTTAGTATTCCCTATAGGCTAGTTAAGGGGGCGCATTTAGGGTCGCTACCCTTATTCTACTAGGATCTATTAAATAAAGCCCTTAATAAGAGCTAAGAGGATATATAAATTGCTTAGATATATATCCTTAACTATACTGATCTCTTATCTCTTCCCTATAAGATTAAAAGTACTATAAATAACATTTTATAATAGAGTATTTCTAACTCATTAGCAAAAACTAGGCCTATCGTTTTATAGAACGTTTCCCTAGATTTTAAACCTAAAAAACCTATAGAAGCAAAAGAGGCTAGATATAGAGAGACTACTAGTAATAATTAAGTGATTTACAAATTAGAGGGTAAGAAATATTAAAGTTATACTATATAATCTTTAGCTAAGGAAAATCTTAAAAAGTTTTAACTAAGTTTCTAGATAGGACAAAGTATATCCTAACTAGTAACGTAATTCCCGGGTGAGTGGGCCAGCCCAAAACATCATAGCAAATGGGATATTTTACAACTCAATCTCCCAACAACCATTCCTTAATATGAGGTCTTATGATAAGATGGTACTTTTTGGATCATATGTAGCCTGTTCATGAGATTTAAAAAGTTAATCGGATTTTGTGGTTCAGATACATATATTTGTCGTCTCTACGGCTGTATTTTTTGGTAATCCAAGGAAATACTTTTTAAATTTATATTTAGGTCTGTTGATACTGTTTATCATGCATTTATATACTGTCAGACCAATAATCAAATAAACTTAACCTTTGGTTGTTGAACTATCCAGTTGTGATATAATGCATTTACTACGGTGTTTTGGGCTGGCCCACTCACCCGGGAATTACGTTAGTATAGGGGTGTTAGTAAAAGGAATTAATATATCGTAGTAGATAGAGTATTCCTCTAATAATATTATTTGCTATTATAGTTTAAGAATAAGTATTTAGATTAGCTAGATTCGCCTAATAACTATATTATTACAACGTCGCTAAGAGGCTAGAATAATAAAGTAAGCTATTATTTATTTAATTATTTAGGTCTATGTGTATTAATAGTTATAATATTTTAATATAAAACTATGACTTCTATATCGTATAGACTATTAATTATTATTTATTAATAGCTATAAGTCCTATAAAAGCTTATTTTAATTAATTATTAGTAATATAATTAGATCCTTCTATACTATTTCCCTTCTAAACTTACCTACTATCTTTAACCCCCTAATTCTAAGCCCTTCTAGGCGTATTAACACTACTCTCAGAGGGATAATAATAGAACTAAATAATAATATAGCTTAATTATAGAGAAGACAAATTTTCTTTAAATCTATAGGGTTCGACTATAGACTTTTATACTATTAACCGTCTTTATTTATTAAAGCACTATAGGCGTTATTAAGCCCCTTAATACTTAAAGTTATTTATAAAGAACATTAATTATATAATAGCTAGGTCTAGCTAGTCCTCTATAAGAGAGGAACGAAATATTAGCTTCTAGAATAAGATTTTAACTATAGCTAGCTAGTAGGAAGGTTAGGAGAATTTTTAAAATATATCCTACGATACTATTATACTAGTATTAACTTCTATAGTTACTTTGCTACTTAAAATATTTATAAATATATAGGGGAAAGTTACTAAAGTAAGAGGAGGCTACCTAGATCAACTAATAGTTCATCTTTTTTAATAGTAGTAGTCTTATAAGTAGAAATAGTAGCCTAGATGTCTACTTTAGGAGTTAGCTAATATCGCTAAAACGAGCCGCTAGGTTAGAAGAGGAGGTATACTTTCTATTAGGCATACTAAATATTATAATTAAGGGTTATTATAGAAATAGAGAAATAAACTTATAGATAGGCGAAATAGGCTTAATAAGTAGGACTAAATTAAGGAATAGGTAAATTAGAGATAGTAGATAGCTATTTATACTATAGATAACTTTTATTGTTAGTAGGCATGAAAAAAAAATATCTGTTTAAGATTATTCGACTATAGGTCACTATAGGTCTTACGAAAGTAGTAAGGACCTAATATTTAAAGGCGGGTATAGCTACTTTTAAGTATAGTTATACTTTTTAGGTTAACACTATAGTATACCTATAAACGTCTTAGAATTATATCTTAGTAATACTTTTAGATTTCCTAGGATAATATCCCATAGTCCCAAGTATATATCAAATAGCTAAGCGAGTTAGGCTATAGCTTTAGTATTTGGTCTTTTAACGTCTACTTATTTTAGTCCTAGGCCAGAGTATAGTTAAGAGAATAAAAATAAAATAGGATACGCATCATATGCTAAAATTAGGATACTATCGCTAGATTTATCGATAGATTATACTACCCATGATCATAAAGGTTATAAGATTTATATAATCTCCTGGCTAGAGTCCATTGATTATAATATAAATAAGTGATAACAGTAACTAACTAGGATAGAACAATAGTAGAAGATAAGGGAGCCTAGGGGAGTAGTGCTATATACCTATCTTATATGTTAAGATATAAATGAATTCGGAGGTAGAAGGCTGATAGCAGGAGTAGATATATACTAAGGATATTGTATATTAAGTTATCTTTAAAAGGGAGGGGTTTAGTATAAATTTGGCTCAACGTACTCGGTAGGCGAGTGAGTCAACTAAAAAAACATAAACGCGATATCTTACAACTTAATATCTCAACGCCAAACCTTAGCGTGCCGTTTAGGGCATAGAAGGCCAGTTTATGGAGCTTTAGGGAATTTTGGGGAATTTTGAGATCTCATATTGAGGTATATATCTACCATGCGGTCGTAGTATATTTTATATTATAGGGTAGATAGATAATTATTTAACCTCAATTTAAGCTAGTAGACATTATTATTGGTTATGTATACAAGAATACCATACCAATAACCAAATAAAACTAGCTCGTTCAATTATCAAGTTGTAAAAATACCATACTACATATGGTCATTTTGGTGACTCACTCGCTCACCGTCGATATTAGTTAGTAGTTTGAGAGCCTAGAAACTAACGTAATTCCCGGGTAAGTAGGTCACCTAGGTAAGCGGGTTGGAAAACGTAGTCGCGTCGTTAACGCGTTAACTTCTATTTTAACTATCTTATATGCCCATAATTCGTAGTTAAAGTTCAAGAAATTCTATTAAATAAGTGGGTAGAATCCTACTTATAAAATAAGCGTTTTAGAGTAAAGAAATCCCTATAATCAGTAAAGCTTGACGTCGACTTTTTAAGTTCATGACATAAAGCTCTATATGGATATCTACCCCTTCGCCTAAAATTAAACTAGTGGTTATAAATTAACTACTAAATGAGAGTGATCACTCCTATAATAGAGTCTCTATAGATATATATATATAGAGATCTATCCATAGACTATTAGGCGAAACTAGGCTACTAGCTATATTAAATGTTATCTAGAGCTTAAACCGTGGGTTTCTTATTAACATAATTATAAAAAGTCTTTATACGGAGATGTATATATTCTTATACCTTAGCTTGAGCTTATATAACAACGTACAATAAGAATAGTATATCTAACCTGAGGGTATCTATAATTTTAATAAAACTAGGTTTATAATAAATAGTATAATAGGACCTATATCTCATATAGAAGTGGTTATGAGAGCTAAATACTATAGTTAGAGGTTAATTTTATAGCTAGGTTGTCATAAATATGTTAACTATATTAAATATATAGATTCGACTAGATTTATGACAACTATCTTCAAAGAAGAACAAAGCTTAGTATAATATTATTACCTACCCAACGAGTAGATAATTAAAATTAGTAATAACAGCTAGACTAACTATAGACCAAATTAGGCTTTGATAACTAGAAAAAGTAATTTATCCCTATAACTATTAGTCGTACAGGGGGTAAATATGGTAAATATCGACTACTAGTCCTTAATAGCTATAATAGTTATTTAACTCCCTATTCTAATCGATTATACTTTAAAGACGATAAGATCCTAGTCTGTATACCTCTATGTTCGTCGTGTCTATTATAGCCCCTATATATATGCTATCTTGTCTCCCCAAATCGTATATGTAGGGTCCCCGGGAATAAGTAAGCCTAAAGCGTAATATTAATTATATAGAGCACATAGGTGCTATATACCCTATTCTCGCTATCAAGCTTTCCTAAATATACCACTACATTGTGGCTATACTTAAGGTAAGCTGTATTAGGAAAATGAATAATACTACCACTACTACTACTACTACTACTACTACTACTACTACTACTACTACTACTACTACTACTACTACTTACAATCTAACAATCAGAACATAGGGAATGGAGTAACCGCTTATTATATAGTAGACACCCACTAGTTGGATAAAGAAGACTTCTTCAGTAAGTACTAAAAGCAGTATAGATTGGGTAAAGATATAAGAGCGGCTTAGTATAAATCTTAAGATATACTACTAATTCATAAGAATTACGATACGTCTATAGGTTGCTTACGCTTTCAAACGAAGTAATAGGGCAACTATAGTAAGTCATATGTCATCATGTATAGTAATACTATCATTATTCTAAATAACCTCATAAAGGTCCAATCAAGAATTTGCTGCAACACTGTGATGTCCCGACGAATGATCGCATTATTCCTTCCGATTATACCCGGTAGGTCTAGCAACTTGACTAGAATGGGCTCTAGGTCCAAGCTTAGAGCCAGCGGGTTCAGCGAACTTAAGAACTCGCTATTTTGCAAGCATTCCGGGGCGACCGAATCTGGAAAGGCCTCCTCGACGAAGTCGACCGCACTAGGTAGGCCGATGATGTCGGTGGTGACGTGGCCGCCGCCGCCAAACGTGGTAAACTGGACAGCCGCACCGCACCAGGCGTCAGCCAGGGTGACGCGTTGGTGTATGGGATTGCCTCATCATCGATCGCGTGGTAGAGAAAGTCTGCTGCGGTAGGGGTCTCATTCGAGTGCACACCAAGCATATTCCGGGACATTATTCTAGCAATGCTCGGGTTCTGCAGGACCACAGGTCCTAGGGTCTGAATGCTCTTGTCAAAGATCGACATTTCATAGAATGCGATGAGATCCACGACCGCGCATTGGGTTTTGGCTTGATACAACTTTTGCCGGCCCTCGGGGTTGATAATCCGGTTGATGATAGGGCCATCTCTCCCCCATAGGCGCTTAGCGGAGACAAGCCAGCAATGGCTGGAGGAATAAAGCCGCTAAATACGGTGTCTCGATTAACATGAGGGCCCTGTGAGGTTGGTGGGAGGGACTCCCGCCACCCAGCCCTTGATGTTGAGTTCTGGAGCATAGCCTCGGCTGGAGGGCGCCCGCTCGCCCACTTGCGATCGTGTCGCCAGAATTCTCGGTGCCGACTATCATGGGATTGTTGGTTGTGAGACCGAGGGGACTGCGGTAGTTTTTCACGGCGCGCATGTTGTCTAGCACACCCGTGCCTTTTATACGGCCGGCGGAGAAGGCGGCATCTAGACCTTCATAATCCGGTGAGACTACGATGTAGCCCATGAGCAAATAGACCTCTGGGATCAGAAACTCCGCTCCCGCGACCACATCGGTCTGGGGCGCCCAAAACAAATACTGCTAGCTAGGGGAGCAAGCAGTTGATCCAGGAGCTATCGTAGGCGGAGAGGTACGAGATGAAGCGATCGGCCTTGGGAGTCCACTACGGGCTTGAGAATGGTGGTCACAGCCGCAATGGGCAGAGCCGTTGATTGCGGTGGTGCGGCGGTACAACAACTGGTGCGTTTCCACAACTGCAGTGACGAGACCAATGTGGGCGGCAACCACTGTCCAGTTCCGAAGTATGGTTCCGGGGACGGTCGACTCAAAGCCCGCCGGGGGCTGATAGAAATGGGTCATTGACCGGGTCCCCGGCAAGCCCAAGGCCCCCGGGAGGGATGAGCAGACGACACCCATCGTGGATACATGTAGGTCGGACTTGAGATAATGTAGCCGCAGCTCCTGGATTCACCAACAAAATGTACCGAACCAACACAAGACGGATCTATAGTCGTAGTAATTGGAAGCCCCGAAGTTAGATCCCAATTAGTCATCAAGGCGGTGAATCCCACCGTTATCGGCCTTATCTTCTGCATCCTCTTCCTCTTCACTTGACCCATCAATCAATCAATCCATTTATCTTCCCAGAATGCTTGCCCCCCAACTGCCTACCGACCTGCCTTGATCGATCAACTTCTTCCTGCGGCCATCTACTAGTCGCCCTTTGCCTCAATGGATCGCAGCAGCACCAGCGGGTCGTCCGCCGACCCCCTCCAGAGCGTGGTCGAACACAACTCCGTCGTCCAATCTGCCGTCGATGAACCCAATGACCGAACGCCCACGGGAATTGTCCCCCCAATCCACCCCAATGGAGAATCCTCCAGGTCCGGCAAAACAGAATCGGTCTCGGACCCCCGACCTGCAGGTCGATTTGGACCATCGACTCGCTCGTCAAGTCGCGCACCGAGGCGATTTAGTGGAAGTACGGCCGCCAGCACTGCTGCTAGCTCAATCAGTGAATTGGAATCTTCCTCGGTGAAGCCTTGGCGCATTGGAGTCTGCGCACTGGATGTCAAAGCACGCAGCAAGCCCAGCCAAAACATTCTCACTCGTCTTCAATCGAAAGGAGATTTCGAAGTCATTGTGTTCGGAGATAAAGTCCTTCTGGACGAAGCTGTGGAGAACTGGCCAGTATGCGATTTTCTAATTGCCTTCTTCTCTGATGGATTCCCGCTGGATAAAGCGATCGCGTATGCCAAACTCCGGAAACCGTTCTGCGTCAATGACCTACCGATGCAGAAGGTGTTGTGGGACCGGCGACTGTGCTTAATGATCCTGGACCACATGGGGGTGCCCACACCCAAGAGAATGGAAGTCAATCGGGATGGCGGCCCCGTACTGGAATCACCGGAACTCGCACAGCATATTTACAAGCTCACCGGCGTCAGGTTGGACGGTCCAGAAGATGGAACTGGGGGTGGCGCTCCTCGAACCCAGGACGTTTCCATGTCCGAGGATGGAGAAGCTCTCATTGTGGACGGAAAAGTCTTCAAGAAGCCTTTTGTGGAAAAACCGGTGAACGGCGAAGACCACAACATTCATATCTACTTCCCCAACGATCAGCAATACGGCGGCGGAGGCCGCAAACTCTTTCGAAAAGTTGGAAACAAGAGCTCAGAATACGACAGTGACCTCATCATCCCGAGATCAGTAACTGAAAAGGATACGAGTTACGTGTATGAACAGTTCCTCCGGGTTGACAATGCCGAGGATGTCAAGGCGTACACGGTTGGACCAGACTTCTGTCACGCCGAGACCCGAAAGTCTCCCGTTGTTGATGGGCTTGTGCGGCGGAATACACATGGAAAGGAACTCAGATACATCACCAAGCTTAGCAAGGAGGAGGCGACCATTGCCTCGAAGATCTCCAATGGGTTTGGTCAGAGAATCTGCGGCTTTGATATGTTACGTGTCGGGGACAAAAGTTATGTCATTGATGTCAATGGCTGGAGTTTCGTCAAGGACAACAATGACTACTATGATAAATGTGCCAACATCCTCCACCACACATTCCTGAGCGAGAGACGCAGGTGTGAGGGAATCGAATCCTCCGAACCACCCTCGCCGGATTTTGGTCAACCCCGAAGAAGCACCGCTGGATCCCACAGGCAAGCACTAAAGACGTTGCTTAAGTCCCCGAGTACATCCCGACTGTACGGCAGCCAAGGTGCTCCAAAAGCATCCGACAATGCCCCATCGTCAGATACATCTACCGCTGCTCCCTCCCTCGCCTCTTCTTCCGGGGTTGAGAATCCCGACCAAGGAACTCACGTCAGCACCATGAATCCATCGGAAGGACGCTCCAGCTCGCGTGGCTATAGTCCTTCCAACACGAAATCCCCGACCGCTTCCCTGCACATTGCTAATGAAGGAGTCCCTCCTCCTCTTCCGGCTTCAAAGCACTCCTGGAAGTTGAAGGGCATGGTGGCAGTCATTCGACACGCAGACCGCACTCCCAAGCAGAAATTTAAGTTCACCTTCCATAGCCAGCCATTTGTGGATTTGTTGAAGGGCCATCAGGAAGAGGTCGTGATCAAAGGAGAAGCTGCCTTGTCCAGTGTTTCGGAGGCCGTTAAGGTAGCACTAGCACAAAGCCTGGAGGATCGAGAAAAGCTCAAACTGCTCCAAACCTCATTGGAAAAGAAGGGCGGTTGGCCAGGGACCAAAGTCCAGATCAAACCCATGTTTCGAAAACGGAAGCCGGAGGAGATGCGAGAGCAAATTCCCACCGTTCCGATGGCCTCATCGCGAGATGCTGCATCGGAGGAGCCAACGTCGCCCGTGCCGAGTGAACCCCCGGTTGATGACGAGAGCCTTCGCCGGTCGCAGACCCGGAGTGACTCTATCTCTGGAGCCACATTCTCCAGATTCTCTGCTGCTGAAAATGACCTCATCCTGGACAAACTGCAGCTGGTCATCAAGTGGGGAGGAGAGCCGACGCATGCGGCACGTTATCAATCGCAGGATCTGGGCCTGAACATGCGGGACGACCTCAAGTTGATGAACAAGGAGGCACTCAATAACGTTCGCCTTTTCACGAGCTCCGAGAGAAGAGTGAGCACGAGTGGTAAGTTTCAGTCTACTCGTTACTTGGATTGTTTGCTGACCGCGGCTGAGCAGCTCAAATCTGGGCTTGTTCTTTTCTTGACCAGAAAGATTTGCCTGATGACTTCATTCAAGTGCGGAAAGATCTGCTTGATGATTCGAATGCTGCCAAGGATGTCATGGACAAGGTCAAGAAGAAGCTGAAGCTACTGCTGCGCGAAGGATCCGCACCGTCTCAATTTGCATGGCCCAAGGATACCAATATTCCAGAGCCCTCAGTTGTGCTTGCTACCGTGGTGGAACTGATGAAGTTCCACCGCAGCGTCATGCGGCATAATTTCGAGAAGCTCAATGGCTCTGTTCGCAGCTCACCGGACAGAAGCTCAGAAGCCCCGGGCCAGTCGAACCAGGTGGATTCGCAGACAGATAGCTCCCATATTTCTTCCATCCAGGGTCGCTGGTGTGCTGGGGAGGACCCACGACTCTTCAAGGAGCGATGGGAGAAGCTTTTCGCGGAGTTCTGTGACACTGAAAAGGTTGACCCTAGCAAGCTATCTGAGCTTTATGACAGCATGAAATTCGATGCGCTGCACAACCGACAGTTCCTGGAATGGGTCTTTGTGCCTCCGGATGGTGACCGGGAAGAGGATGAACGGAGCATCACCAAAGGCAAGGGTGCCACCAAATCCGATCCGGCTGTGGATAAACCACCCCATGAGGTCGCGACTGAGAAACCCGAGGAGCGTGCAGAGAACCAGACCTTTGCCCACCGGCTGGGCTTGAAGAAGCGCGCGCAGGCCCTAGAGTCGCTACCGCATCTTCGGGCACTGGATGACTCCTACGACCATTATTTCAAGCTGTTCCCGGGCTCGGACTCAACCAATTCCAAGCTGGATGAGCGGCTGTCCAAGCTGCGGGAGCTGTACAAGCTGGCCAAAGTTCTGTTTGACTACGTGACGCCTCAGGAGTACGGCATTACGGACAGCGAGAAGCTGGAGATCGGCCTCCTGACGTCTCTCCCTCTGCTACGGGAAATTGTGCGAGACCTGGAGGAGGTGCAGGCCTCCCCTGATGCGAAATCGTTTTTTTACTTCACCAAGGAGTCCCACATCTACACGCTGTTGAACTGCATTCTGGAGGGCGGCATCCAGACGAAGATTGCGAGAAGCGCCATCCCCGAGCTCGACTATCTGTCGCAGATCTGCTTTGAACTGTATGAGGCCCGAGACAGCGAGTCGTCCATCAATTCCTACTCGATCCGTATCTCCATCAGCCCTGGATGCCATGCGTTCGACCCGCTGGACGTGCAACTAGATTCCCGACACTCGATCGGCTGTACGCCCCGACGTAGCCTGACGGCCCATCAGGATTGGAAGGAGGTCATTGAGACCCTCAAGGCCAAGTTTGACACGTCAGTGACTCCGCTCCTTGTCGTTGCCCTTTTTTTATTCTTCCCTACTAACCCAATGTTTAGGGTCAAATTACCCCAGTCGTTCATTGCCGTCAACCTCAGCGATAAACATGTGTCGCAGCCCAGCAGCCCCTAGCTTTGTAATGGTTTTTTCCTCTTCTTTCTAATCCTTTCCGTCTTGTATTATTATTATTAGAAGAAGAAACAAAAAGGACCAATCATACATGTATGTCGTGATCGATGCGCAGGATTTATCGCCCGGTCAGCCCGATAACACCCATTTTCCCTCCTTCATCCTCCCCACGATGGCGGACGTCGTAGAGCCCGCGCTTCGATCTGGCGAAGACCGGATTGCGCGGGAAGACATTCTGGGAGTCCTGCCCACGGGAGACCTGGCCTATCGGGTACTGTTCTTCGACAATAGCCATGATCGCTTGAAGACGGTGGACATCCCGACCCTACCCTCAGAGCTGTCGTCCTTGCTGGTCACCGATCTTCCCGCTCATCTGCAGCACGATCTGCTCCACGTCGTCATCTCCACGCGGTCTGGGACGGGAACGGCCCCGGCCGTGTTCTCAAATCTGGTCCAGCCTTTTCTCGCCTCTCTCGGGCGGGACTACGAAGTCTACGAGACCGAGACCGAGAACACGATCCCGGAGCTAGCTCGGACGAAATTCCTCGAGCGGGCCTGCCAGGGGATCGCACAAACGATCGTCCTGCTCACCGGGGATGGCGGCCTGGTAGACCTGGTCAATGTCTTCTACAAGTCCGACCGCACGGTGTCGGTGCCGCCCACCATCGCCTTGATCCCCTGTGGGACGGGCAATGCCATGGCCAGCTCTATCGGGTTTCGGTCTGGACCGATGTCCGGTCTCCCGGCCTTGCTCCGGGGCCAGCCATCCTCCCTCCCCGTCTTTGCCGCCCAGTTCTCCCCCGGCAGTCGGCTGGTGATTGACGAGGGCCGTGGCCGGGCTCGCATTGACGGCTCCCATCTCTACGGAGCCGTCGTTGCCAGCTGGGGGTTCCATGCGGCTCTGGTCGCCGACAGTGACACGGCCGAGTACCGGGCCTTTGGGGCCCAGCGATTTCAGATGGCAGCCCAAGAGCTTCTCTACCCGTCCGACGGCTCTGTGCCTCATGCGTTTCGCGGCCGCATCACGCTGATCACGGCGGAGTGTGGGCAGGAGGCGCTACCGGACCCGGAGCACATGTATGTGCTGGCGACGCTGGTTCCGCGACTGGAGAAGGAGTTCCTGATCTCGCCGGACTCGGAGGCCCTGAGCGGGCAGATGAAGCTGATCCGGTTCGGGCCCCTGAGCGCAGACCAGGCCATGAGCCTTATGACGCGGGCGTACCAGGGCGGACAGCACGTGCAGGACGAGACGGTGACCTATGCCGAGGTGGACGGGTTGCGCATTGATTTCCAGGAGGACGAGGAGCGATGGCGGCGGGTGTGCATCGATGGCCAGATCGTCGCAGTAGAGCCGGACGGGTGGATGGCGGTGCGAAAGGAACCACGGCGGATGTTGGCGGTGTTGCAGGTGCAGTAGTTATTGTAGCTGTGGTAGGTCAAGTGATAGTAACTACCTACTCACTCTTCCCTTCTTCACCCACCCAGTCCCCTCCCTCACTCCCCAACCGAAATAAATATGGCCCCGTCCTCCAATGCTCGTCACACCCCGAACTTACGTGGCTGCCCAATCCGAGCCCTGTGAAGGCCTGCTGCCACGCTTTTACGCTCTGGGGGGCTGGCGCTCTTCCCCCGCCAACATGTTGCTCGTCCACCAGCTCGGCAGCGTCCGCGTCGGCGAAATCATTCGGTACACCGTCACCTACACACCCGCCGCGGACCCGATTCAGCCCATCCCGTCGCAGCTCCATGTGCGTGTCAAGAACACCTCCGCCATCCCCCTGCGCGCCGCCTACCTCCACGGCCCCTATACACTCTACACCGCCTGCTATCCCGCTGCCTTTGATCCCAACCACAAGTATGATCGCTCGGAGACCGAGGGAACCCCGCAGTTCGAGCCATACCTCAAGGCTGGCGGTAATTGGGACGCGGTCGTCAAGGTGCCGCCGACTCTCCAGAATGAGCCTGCCCGCAGCGTGACATGGGTGATCGAGATCGTCTCCCAGGTGCTCTTTTCAAGCAGCGCTGCTGTTCACTTCGAGTTGTTGATTAGCCGCGATAATAAGTCCCTGGACCTCTTTGGCGGGCAGTGGACCGGTGGCCGGGGCCCGGCAGCCAAGTTGCATGAACATTGGTCCCCCGAAACACGGGGCCAGCAGGTGCGGGCGACCAAAGGTGTCTTCTCCAAGTCTGTCTTGCTACGCGTGGATGATACCAGCAGTCTGTGGAACAATCCACCGTTACCTTCGGCCAAGGGGGTGGCCACGAGTACAGGGCCAGATAGGCACGATTCAGACCAACCTTTGCCAGACGCTCATGGCCCCGAGAACGCGCTGGAAACATCTCCAAAAAAGAAGAAGATCCATCTGGTTGTGTTGACGCACGGCCTACACAGTAATCTGGGCGCGGACATGCTATATCTGAAGGAGAGCATCGATGCCGCTACAAGAAAAGTCAGGGAAGAAAAGCTTCGCGATTCCGTTGACGATGAAAATGACGAGGAAGTTATTGTCCGAGGCTTCTCCGGCAACGCAGTGCGCACCGAGCGTGGCATCCAATATCTTGGCAAACGCCTGGCCAAATATGTCTTGCTGATGACATACCCAGATCAGCCCTACTTTCCCTTGAAGACCTCCAAGTCTGGGCCCTTCTCACGGCCATTCACGTCTCGCAAGAAACAGACCGAGCAGCCTCTGGGACCCCAGCGGGCTTCTGAGCCCAACGATCCGGAATCTGACGACCACCCGTATCAGATCACCAGTATCAGCTTCATCGGCCACTCCTTGGGTGGGCTGGTTCAGACCTACGCCATTGCATATATCCGGAAACACTCTCCCGAGTTCTTTGAATCCATCCGGCCCGTTAATTTCATTGCGTTGGCCACTCCCTTCCTAGGCCTCAGTAATGAGAATCCAGTGTACGTTCGATTTGCCCTGGATCTCGGCCTCGTCGGGCGCACCGGTCAAGATCTCGGGCTCAGCTGGACGGCACCCAAGGTCCGCAGTGGCTGGGGTGCTCTCATCGGAGGCCGAGGAGGGGAGCCGACGAAAGATGAAAGCCATGCGGATCCCGGTTCGAAGCCGCTGCTACGAATTCTTCCCTGCGGCCCTGCCCACGAAGTTCTTCACAAGTTCCAGCACCGCACTATTTATTCAAACGTGGTTAATGACGGGATCGTTCCGCTTCGGACCTCCTGTTTGCTCTTTCTGGATTGGCGTGGCCTTGATCGAGTCGAGAAGGCACGGCGAGACAACGGACTGGTTGGAACCATGGCCGAATGGGGCTGGGCCGAGTTGACGGGGGCAAATTCGAAAATCCCACAGGTCGCTCGCTCTGGCGGAGAGGCAGGCGTCGAGAGTGAGGTGGTCGTCGATGAGCTCTCGCTCTCCCCATCCCCTAACCAGTTCCTGGCCCGACCCGAATTGTTGCCTGCCCAGGCTGGTGCGGCAGAGGGAGAATCCAAGGAAAATCTCGGTCCCTTGGACAGCATCTTCTCCCTTTTTCGTCCGAAGGAGACAAGGGTTCCATCCAGCAGCAAGCAGGCTAAGATTTACAAACGCAGCCAGACCCTCAGCTCGATGGATTCTGGTCAACCGCCGTCTATCGTGCGCGGCACCTCCTTATACGGAGATGACGGGGTCCATACGCCCCCCAGAACGACTTTTTTTGAGTCCGCCGGAGACCTGCTCATGCCGCCACTGCCTCCTACGGACTTCATTCTAGATCCTGCGGCGCGCCCTCGCACGATCTTCCATGATCGCATCTACCACCCCGATGACATCCCACCCCCGCTGCCCGTCAAGCGGCGGACATTGAGCTTCAGCCCTTTGCAAAACAAGACGAAGGCAAGTGCAGTCCCAGCATCCTCGACTCCACTACCCTCTGGCGGTAGTGCCAATGGAGAGCACTCCAAGAGTGGTCTCAAGGTGGAAGAGAAGATCGCGCGAGCCTATCACCGTGATCTTCCTTGGCGGAAAGTGCTCGTCCGTCTCGAACCTGATGCACACAATAACATCATTGTGCGCCGTATGTTCACCAATTCTTATGGGTGGCCAGTGGTCAAACACCTGGTGGACACCCACTTTGGCCATACACCTGTCGCTGAGCTGGATGACGTGCTGAAACAGAATGTGGAGCGAGCGAAATCACCAAACATTGGGCCCACGAGCTCCGGGGACGAGATTGAAGGCGCGTCCGACTCTCTGCGATCCGACACGCCGGTCGATAAGACCTGGCGGGCCGAACAGCCCTTGGGACTGGATCCCCGTCCGGATTTCGAGCTATCGGAGGAGTCCGCTTTTCATGGTCGATCCTCCCCGTTCGATGAATCTCACGAGACGGCTAGTGTTTACGGCGTATCTCACCCGCCTGAGGTCTGGCGACAGGATTCGGCGCGGTGGACTGACCGGGAAGTCGATGAAGATGACTGCGATTCCGGCTTCGAGGAAACAGCCTTTCGCTGGTCCTAGGATTTCGTGGTTGGAGATTGTACATACATTTTTTCTCTTTCTATATCTTCCTGCACACAACAAATACTGGTTTAGATCAATGCTATCTTCAATCAGTATTCTAGCTCGCCCTGTACATGGCTCCAAAACTCTTCCACTAGCTCTCGCTGTCCGGTGCCATTGGGGGCGCCGCGCACAGCGAGGTACTTGCGGCCATCCAGGCGCGGCTCCCACTTCCCGGGGCTTCCGTCTGCCATGATGCCCCCGGCCTCGGTCAGGATGACCCATCCAGCGCAGACATCCCACGCCCAGCAGCCGCCTTCCCAGTACAAGTCCAGTGTGCCATCCGCAACGGCGCATAGGTTCAGGGCCGCAGAGCCCATGCTGCGCATTGACCGAACCATGGCTCCGCCGTCTTCCTTGGATTTGCCCAGTTTCTCAAACGTGCGGATCTTGGTGTCCCAATTTTTCCCACTGCGATCCGAGCCCCATTCGACGGCGATGAGCGCATTATCTAGGCCGGTCAGGGGTTCCGTATTGTCGCCCTTGAGGGGTAGGGGAGTCTTTCGGTTGAGGAAGGCTCCTTGGCCCCGAATGGCAGAATACAGCGTCTGGGTGGATGGGTTGTACACCACACCTACTGTCGGTATTCGACCCACCGCGAAGCCGAGAGAGACGCAGGCGTAGGGGAAGCTGTGTACAAAGTTGATCGTTCCGTCGATTGGGTCCACAACAAATGTCGGGGCGTCAGTTAATGGACGCGCCGGGTCATATGTTTCCTCGCCGTGGAATCTGGGGAGCTCGGAAGGAGCGCGCATCAGTATCTCTCCCCACGGACAGAATGAGAATACTACCTACTCGAAGTCCGGATACCGCTCCTTCAGGGAGGTCGAGATCATCTTCTCCACTGCACGGTCATACTCGGTGACCAGATCAGCACCTGGTGCGAGATCAGCTCATGCCTGGTTGGTTGATTGTTGGGTTCGGAATACGGACTGTTCTTCTTCGAGCCGGTGCCACTGGTGTCGGGGAGGGCATTGGTGATGATCTCGCCCGCCTGGAAGGCAAGAGACACCAGAAAGTCGTGGATTTCAGGCAGGATTGGAGTGTAGTCAACCATGGCGGGAGGTTGAAGGAGGAAACGTGGGGGAAATGGATCTGCGCTAGATGGAGGGGTCTGTATGGTGGGGAGAGATAGTACCCATGGATATAACAAGAGGTACAAGGTATAGGGAATAATATCTACCCAAGCTAGGTGGATAGGTTGGTAGTATTTGCAAGGGAGAAGGGAGGGTTCAAATAAAAGGGAAAGGGAAGCGCGGAGAGGGAGGAAGGAAATGACGTGGTTGGGCGGAAAAATTTATAACGAGTTCGTTCACTCTTCTCTCCACCACCACACCAACATTACACCCACCCACCATGCCGACCGAACTGGAGGAGGTCAGTTCTCCCTCTTGAGAGTTCTTGAATGTCGAGTCGCTAACATCAATCAATCAACCAGCTGGTGGAATTCCTCCATCACGGCAACACCCAGATCAGACAGATCGGTATGCATTCTCGCCGACTCCGACTCGGACCAGACCTGACCTGACTTCCCAAAGCCTGCGAAAACCTCGTCGGGTTTTCCACCGCTCAGCCCGACCTGTTCAAGCGCCACCAGCTGCTGCCCGTGCGCGACCTCAAACTCCTAGCCCGTGACTACTCTGTGCGTGCAAAGACCAGCCCTGGTGGTTCTATCGACTGATGCGCCTGGATAGCCGATCGCCAAAAATGCATTGACCATGCTCATCAACCTCGCGGGCGACGAGGAAGTGCTGGCCAACTTGGTCGAAGATGAGGCGTTCCTGGAGACCTTGCTACTAAAGTTGACGGTGGGCATGCATTCCCTCATCTCCGGTCGTGACACTGACTTGAGAGGGTGGTAGAACGTTAAGGAGCCCAATGCCGACGAATTTACGATGCTCCTGGCCAACATGGCCAAGTCCGATCGGCTACAGAAGTTGCTCACGCTGAAGCGCAAAGTCCCCGAGTCCGTGTCGTCGTCCGAGAATGCCATCGACCAGCTGATGGATTGCTTTGTCAAGGGCGCCGAGGGAGCCCTCAATAAGAATGCCACCTACGACTATCTGTCCTATCTGTTTGCCGACCTGGCGCAATCGGAAGCGGGCCGAGCCTATTTTATCACGCGCCAGGAGTACGACGGGGTGGTTCCGGTCACCAAGCTGACCGTGTTCACCGAGCATCAAAGCGACATTCGTCGTAAAGGCGTGGCGTCCACCATCAAAAATGTCTCGTTCGAGGTGCCCTCCCATCCCATGCTCTTCGCCGAAGACGAGGTCAATCTCCTCCCATACCTGCTGCTCCCGATCACCGGACCCGAAGAGTTCTCGGAGGAAGACTCGATGGAGATGCTGCCCGACCTGCAACTGCTGCCGCCGGACAAGAAGCGGGATCCGGACCCCAGCATCATAACCACCCACCTGGAAACCCTACTGCTGCTGACCACCACTCGAGAAGGACGCGACAAGATGCGGGCGGTAAAGGTGTATCCGATCGTCCGTGAATGTCACCAGCAGGTCTCAGACGAGAATGTGCAGGAGGCGTGCGACCGGCTGGTGCAGGTGTTGATGCGCGACGAGGAAGGCGAGGGTGACAAGACCGAGGGCGAGCTGGCGCAGGCGCAAGCAGAGGTCGAGCGGCAACCACCGGCGGCGGCGGACGAGGATGAGAAGGTGGTGGAGCTCTTTTAGATAATCACACCCCGGATAGCTAGGTAAATATAGAGAGCAGGATCTACACATCCTGCATAGGGCGAGAAGAAAGTCACTACGACCGAGTGGGGCCTGCGCACGGGCACATTCTTATTCTTTGCTTCTGCACACTACTGCAGGAACCGAGTAGTCTTCGTTCTTTCCCCAGGAGTCCTCCCTCCATCAAGCGCCTGTGGGCCTTGATGTCGCGCGCCCCTCTGCTGCGCTCCTCGCCAGCCTCGTCCTACGGTACTGTGCACATGCCCCGCGACCCCGGGGACGACGACCCCGATGACCCCGGCCCCTCCGCCGTGAGGATCCCCGCCAAGAAAAGATCGCATTCGCCCGGGCACCGACGGAAGAGCGGCCGGCATGCCCGAGCGTACCACCGACGACCCTCGTCGGCCACATCGGACGTGGGCCTGGGTGCCGACTCCAAGTGTTCGTTCGCGACCGGGCTGGCCGTGCCGGGCAATGCCGTCCTGCAAGAGACCCCAGCCTCCTCGCCCTACGTGACCAGTGACGATGATGAGGATGTTCTAGACATTGATGACGATGATGACAAGTCTACAGATGATGATCCTCCAGACAATTCCCCGTACGCTTGTTTTTGCCGAGTGCCTCGTGGTGAATATTGATTGACAATCATTAGTTACGCCCAAGTGCGTGCTTCGGTCCCAGCGACGGATGACGTTACCCTTTCGATCAACAGTAACTATGCCTTGTCCAAGAAGTCCTTCCTAGAACCAGCGGTCTAATATCGGTCACATTTATAGCCCCTCGCATGTGGACCCTCGCGTTGATCTTTTCATTAACGGGTTCGGCGGCCAACCTGTTCTTCTCCCTACGCTATCCGAGCGTCGCAATTACACCGATTATTGCTTTGGTCCTGGTCCACCCACTGGGCAAGTTCTGGGATGTGCTTCTCAAGCGAAACGATGACCTCGTCGAGGTCTTTGAGAATGGGACTTTCCTCCATCGGGAATCGACTGCGGCTGACCTCGACGTCCCTAATCTCACCTGGACCTCCCGTGTCAGACTTTGGCTCGCCCAAGGCCGTTGGAACGAAAAAGAGCATGCATGTGTCTATATCAGCAGCAACGTCTCCTTCGGATTTGCTTTTGCAACGGATGTAGGTGTCAAAATCTTACATATCTTTTATAACAGCCCACCATCTCACTTCGGCATTAGGTCATTGTTGAACAGCACAAATTCTACAAGCAAGAGGTCCCCATTTCCTACCAACTTCTGCTCATCATCTCAACCCAAGTTCTCGGCTATGCCTTTGCAGGCCTCACTCGGCGGTTTCTGGTACGACCATCGGCCATGATCTGGCCGGGCACTCTCATGTCCACCGCCATGTTCTCCACGATGCACAAGTCCGTCAACAAGAAAGCAAATGGATGGCGAGTTTCACGATACCGGTTTTTCATCCTAGTGTGGGGAGGTTCCTTTCTCTGGTATTTCGTCCCAGGGTTGCTGATGCCCGCCCTGAGTTATTTCAATGTCATCACTTGGCTAGCTCCGAAGAACGTCGTGGTGTCGAATCTGGTAAGCCTTCCTATCCTCCACCGCAGATCGTCTCTGATGAACCATTTCAGTTTGGCGTGGCCTCGGGTCTCGGCATGTTCCCTTTGACCTTTGACTGGGCACAGATTGCGTACGTAGGTTCTCCTTTGCTGACACCGTGGTGGGCAGCCGCCAATATTGTGACGGGATTGGTCGTGGTCATCTGGTTTCTTTCTCCGATACTGTGTAAGTGTATCAATTGCTTGTCTACCATTTGCCGACCCGAAGGACTGACGTGCCCACACGGCAGATTATAAAAATGCTCTCTTTTCCGCATACCTGCCGATCCTCTCAACAGCGGTTTTTGACAACACCGGGCGGCCATACAACGTGAGCCGCATCTTGACCAAAGATTTCTTGTTCGACTGGAAAGCATATGAAAAATATTCTCCGGTCTACCTTCCGATCACTTATGTGCTCTCCTACGCTGTCCAGTTTGCAGCGTTAACATCGTTGGTAACACATACAGTTTGCTGGTATGGAAAAGATATTTGGAACCAAACCAGGAAGGCCTTCCATGAACGAGAAGACCCACCGAACTTGGAAACATACCAGCCGTTGAGTGGAAACGGCGGGCCTGCTACTGGTCGACAAAGCTATGGTCTTTCCCGCAATAGTTCTCGTGACTACCCTCGGGAGGGCTTAGGCGTGGAGGATGTTCATTGCCGCCTCATGCGCCGTTACAAGGATGCTCCGTTGGCGTGGTACCTCATTGTGCTCATCTCCATGCTGGCAATTGCTATATTCACCGTCGAACAGTATGTCCTGCCTCATCCATCCTTTGATCTGGGATTGACCTTTGAATAGCTACCCGGTGCATCTGCCCTGGTACGGATTGCTTTTGGCTTTGGGTGTCACGGCCGCATTCTATGTTCCGATCGGGATCATCATGGCCATCACCAATCAGCATAGTAGTCTCTATCTGATCTGTCAACTTCTCTGTGGGATTGTTTTCCCCGGACGACCAGTGGCGAACATGATCTTTGTGACGTACTCCTATATCAGTTCCGCTCAAGGGATCAAATTCTCCGCAGACCTGAAGCTGGGCCACTACATGAAGATCCCTCCTCGCATTCTTTTTGGTGTGCAGATGACAGCGACCCTGGTCTCCAGCCTGACCCAGATTGGGGTTTTGAACTGGATGTTTACCTACATCCCGGGCCTGTGCACTCCGGAGGCGATCAATGGCTTTAACTGCCCCATTGCTCGTGTCCACTTCAACGGGAGCATTCTCTGGGGCGTTGTCGGACCGCAACGTTTCTTTGGACCCGGAAGGTTATATCGACCTCTCGTGTGGGCGTTTCTGGTCGGTGCAGCTGCCCCTCTCGGTGCGTGGCTGCTCGGGCGTCGGAACAAGAAGAGCTTCTGGCGCAAAGTCAACTTCCCCATTCTGTTTGGTAGCCTCAGTTGGATCCCTCCGGCCACCGGGCTGAACTTTTCCATCTGGGCACTGGTGTGCTTCGTATTCAACTATGTCATCCGGCGGAAAAAGACTGCCTGGTGGGAAAAGTACGCGATGACGCTCTCGGCCGCCCTCGATTCCGGGCTGGCATTTTCCGTGGTGGTCGTTTTCTTCGCCTTCATCTACCCCGGCTGGGCCGAGGGGCTCCAATGGTGGGGTACTGAGATCTACAAACAGGTGATTTGATCCATGCCTTTTGTCCTGTCTTGTTGCTAACTCTGGGATCCAACTAGGGCTGTGACTGGCTTGCTTGTCCGTACAAACCGCTGGGGCCGGGCCACAAATTCGGTCCTTCGCCTTAAAGTCCCGAGAGAATAAAGCCCAGTATATATCGCTTTGGTAGTACCCAAAATATAGTTGTCCGTGTAGGTCATCTCTTGTTTACTAGTAACCTTATACTCTCTCGACCACCCCAGGCCCAGGCGGCTTACTCAGCCTGCCATCCGGCCCGTTCGCCTTCACCTCACCTCATTCATTCATTCATTCACCTTCCCTCCCTCCGTTAGTAGCTATTCTTGTCTGTCCACGCCTTCTCTTCGTTAGGCTCATACCATACTTGTTCTGTCCATACGCTGATTGCTACATCCCCCCTTTCCCTTGGTCCTATTCTCCTTGCTCCCTTTCCCATCCCGTGTCCCTGGAGGACTGACTTGTCGATGCGCCCCGGCGATCACGTCGCCTTCGACTCATCGCACCGCCTGTCGCTTGATCTCCTTCTCTGACCAAGGAAAATGTCGACTCCTACAAATCCCATGAATGGTCGCACCCCGACAGGGTCGAACGGAGCTCCGCCGATGAGAATTCGCCGCCCGAAAGTGGCAGACCCTTTGGTTCGACCGAAGAGAAAGCCTACTGCCAAACCCGCTGGGACTGCGCCTTCCGGTAACGCGACCGCTACGAAGACCCTGCCGACGCACCCACCCACATCGAATGCCCAGCCAGCAGCTCAGCCGGAGAAGGTTCGTCTTCCGCCAACGCAGAACAATGCCGCTGTGAACGGATTCAGTGGGCCCTTAATTTCCGAAAAATATGTCGACTACCCACTTGTGACAACCAAGCGAGCTCTACGGGAGGGGCTGAAGCACCACATTGCGAGGTTTGCCTCGAAGAAGAGTGTTGACCCTCGGGATGAGTCGCAGTTTACGCGACCAGTTCGACTTCACCGCCGCGATCCGCGATCCCGATCTAGTGAAGTAGATAAAGGCCATGGCTTTGGGGATGTTGGACCGGATGGCCAGCCGTTGGCGTTGAACGAAGCGGAACGCGAAGCTCTTGACGCGAGAAAAGTAGCGCGTGAGAAAGAGCGTGCCGAAAACTTGGCCCAAATCGCCCCCGCTGTTGGAATGGGCCCGAAACGATCGAATGGCCCCAAGCAGAAGACGCAGCAAGTGTACAAGTCAGACCTGACGCCTGAGGAGGTGGCCAGGGCACGACTCAAGTACGAAGAAGCACTGCCCTGGCATCTCGAGGATTTTGACAACCGCAATATCTGGGTAGGAAATTACGAGGCAGCCCTGTCCGAGACCCATGCGATGTTTGTTCTTGAAAATTCAGGCAAAATGAGGATGATCCCCGTGGAGAAATGGTACAAATTTAACGCCAAAAGCAACTTCAAGGCTTTGACCATTGAGGAGGCAGAAAAATACATGGCCAAGCGGATCAAAGACCCAAGATGGTTCATGGAGAAGCAGCAGGAGATCGCTCAACAGAAGGAACTGGAGCAGTTTGCGAAACAGCGCAAGGTGTACGCTGGTAAGCAGGGCGTTGCTGCTGGAGGAGGGGAGGGCCTGGAGGCCGGCGAAATGGACTTTGAGGAAGACCGCTTCGCCGATGATGAAGAGCACGACGATCTTTTTAATGATGACGAGGATGCCAAGGCTGCCGAGAAGCGGATCAAGGAGGACCAACTCAAAGCGAATGTCTTCGATCTCAAGGAGGAGAAGGACTACGAGAACGAAGAGCTTCGGGAAAAGAGGGAGCGAGAGGCTCGTCGCGTGCTAGGGAAGAAGGTGCGAAAGGCGCTTAAGAAGAGAGAGAGAAACTACGACTACAGCAGTGGTTCGGATGCCAACCCCTATACTGATGACGAGGTAAAAGCTACTCCCCTTGGTGATCAAGAGTCCACTTGTACTGACGATGTCTTCCTGTTTTCAGAGCTCCGATGACAGCGAAACCGAGCGGCTGAAGGAAGAAGAGCGCAAAGCAGAGGAGGAAAAGAACCAGAAAGAATCGGCGTCGTCTTCCAAAGGAACCAATACCCCTTCCGGCCGCCCTAAGCATACGGACGCCCTGAAGAAGACGGCGGCATCTCGCAAGCGCCCTGGATCACCTAATGCCTCCGATGCTAGCGGCACTGATACCTCTCGGAAGAAGGCAAAGAGCAAGCACCAGACCTCTCAGCCTGCATCGCGCCCTATGTCTCCGTCTGCTGTTTCGTCGGTCCAGGTACGTGTTTTTTTCTCGGAGAGACTAGTTTGCCCATACTAACCCTTCCAGGCTGGCAAAAAGCGTATTCGGAACATCCCGCCTGGAGCATCTGGGTCTGGGAGTGACGTGGATGGAGGCGCCGGATCTGCAGGGGAGATGAGCGAGAGCAGCAAGACCAAGAAGCTAAAGTTGAACCCTCCAGCCCCAGGATCCCGAGGTGGCACCCCCCAGGGATCGCGGGCTGGAAGCCCTACAGCCGGTGGCCGGAGCTTCTCTGGTAGCCGTGCAAGCAGTCCTGGTAAGTCATTATTTGTGAGAGCCTTCTCTTGGAAAATCCATACTGATTCTACGCTAGGTCAAGGTCGGTCAACCCCAGGACCATCTGGAACATTCCCTACTCCAGCGGAGATCCATGCGGCCATTCCACCGACAGGAATTCTCAGCAGCGATCTCCTGAGGATTTTCCGTCCACGCATTGGAGACGACCACCAGAAGTTCATCTCCATCGTCAAAGACGTCAGCGTGTATGGGAAGGAGGATCGAATGCTGCGGCCTGGTCCTTGGAAGGAGACCTAAGACGGGACACGCGTACATACTTTTACATCAGCATTTTAAGGAAATAGATTCTGTTACCGCCTCGCCTTCATTCTACTCTAGCGATTGGTTACAGCAAGGAAGTCAGTTGACAGAATGAATTGAAATTATTCTCAGAATTAGAAACATGTACATGGATTGCGAAAAGAAAAAAAAACAACAAAATAACTCCGCCAGCTTTAGACATATCACATCATGACCCACTGACTAGGTCTCTCTATGGGAAGAACAACACGACAGGCATTGTAGACGATGGGGAATCAACATGCAAATATAAGGGGATCAGGCCGTGGCCCGAGCCTCGTTGCCCTCTTCATACTTGTCCCAGTTCGCCAGGATCGACGCGATGCGAGGCGAGTTGGTGAGCTTATAGACATCTTCAAAGTACTCCTTGCTGATCTCGAAGGGACGGGCCGTGACGTTAGGGATGTACTTGCCAACCAGCTTGCTGGGGTCGATCGTAGTCTTGTTAATCTTCTTCAGCAAGAAGGACCGGAAAGGCTTGACGCCGGAGCGCAAGAAGGTACTGTGGAAGGGCACGTCGATACCCTTCAGCGGGATGGTCGCGAATCCACGCTCCAGCGAGATTGGTCGGGGCTTGGCCTCGGTCTGCTTGACACACTCCTGGATGATACTCACGAGGTGAGCCTTGAGGTCCTCCAAAGACATGCTCTGCATGAGAGCAGGGATATCAATGTTCTGGGCTTTGAGGAAGTTCAGCAGGTTTGTAAGGCAGTCGAGAGCGCGCAACTACAAGACAGTTAGTAAGAGAAGCAGGGGGGGGAAGGGGATAGAAAAGCTTACATCACCCGCAGCAACATACTGCATGTTGGCGACGTTGTAGTTGACGATCTCCAGGAGCCAACCGGTCTGCTCCGAGATGTTCTCCACCACGTATTGCAGCGCCTGCTCGTTGAAGGTCTTGGAGATGCGGCTGGGGTTGACGGCACACATCGAGTAGTTGGAGCGGCCTTGCTCGTCGCGCTCGACCGCGACCTGCATGGTCAGACCACGGTAGAACACCACGGACACCAAGCTCTCAATTGGCATGACATCGGCTAGGGCAGCAAGGGCCGAGTATTCACCAAGGGAGTGACCGGCAAAGCTGCTGTCGCGCTGAACTAGACCCTTGGAGCGCATGTCCTCGAAGCTGGCCTTCTCCATCAAGGTCAGAGCGGGCTGGGTGAATTGAGTGGCGGACAACAGGCCAGTCGGCGACCGGTAGGTATACGAAGCGGTGTTCTCATCGATCCCCTTGAAGATCTTCTCCGACTTGATAGAGCCATCTGCATTCACGGACTCGAAGGTCATCGCCATGTAGTTCTGGCGGATGGCCTTGCCCCGTGGGCCACCGAAATAGACGGTGAGCTCCTTGGGGTTATTCTTGACGATGTCGATAATGGAGAGACCATAATTCTCAATGAAGTGGCGATCGGCCCGATCCCAGACCTCCTTCGCCACGGGGCTGCTGGCGTAGAGCTCCATACCCATGCCCTGCTCCTGAGAGCCCTGGCCGGTGAAGACGTAGGATGTGACAGGCTGCTCAACCTCCGCCTCACCTAACAGGACCTTCTCTTCACTGTCCTTGTTGCTGGCTTCGACCTTGATGATCTTGCGACCAGCGATCATGCCAACATGCTGGAGCTTGACGGTGATCATATCGTTCGGCAGCACCATGCCGACCAGCGAGACGTGGAAACCACGAACACGGCCGATGTTGTTCTCCGCAGCCCAGGTCTCTACGAGACTGCGAACGGCGGCGCTGCTATACATGCCGTGGGTGATCGTGCCGGGCAGGTTGGCGTAGCTGGAGAAGACACGCGAGACGTGAATGGGGTTGTAGTCACCGGAGACGCGGGCATACGTCTCGTTAGATGCCGGGGCACGCAGCTCCAGAGCAGTCTTGCCGCTGAGTGGAATCGGGTTCTCAAAGTAGACCGGCTGCTCAATGGACGTGCCGTTGCGCTGGAGGTAGTCAATCACCGGGTTGCCATGGGAGTCGCCGGCCTCATAATCCACGGAGGCCACCTGAATGACTTCCTTGGTGGGCAGCTCCAGCAGAACCTGACCAATGGTCTGGACGTTGCTGAAGACGGTCTTGTTCTTGAAGCGGATCAAGCTCTGCAGGCGGAACGTGAGGGTCTGGCCCAGAAGCTCGATCTCAGGCTCGTCCATGCGGAACCACTCCTTGGAGCGAAGAATGGCCACGTCGCGGCTTGTGGCGAGGTGAACCTGCATGGGCACCTCATCCTTGCGCTGGAAGGTGTTCTCAAAGTCCGAGTAGGCACCACGGTACAGGAACTGGCTCGTGACATGCATTATGGGCTGGCCTTCCCGCTTGATGGTGCCGCACACCTCGACCATCTTGCCCGACTCCTGGTTGATGACGGCATTGATCTGAGCGGTGGTGTCCAGGACATCGCCGACCTTCAGGGGCTGAGCACCGGGGACCATCTTGAATCCATTGGACAGATGGACCAGCTTGAGGAGGTCGCCGTCGATGGTGCGAGGGAAGATCGGCTTGGTGATTGCCTTCCAGCCCGCGACAATAGCGAAATCCATAGGAGCGAAAACCTCCTTGCCTGGCCGATCAACGAAAGCCTCGCCAGTGTTGCCAACCGCGTGGACAAAGTCTGCAACAGCCTGGGAGGAGATTGTCTCCCGGCCACCGTTGAAAGTGGCGGTGGTAGGAGTGTCGAACGGCACATCCTTGTTGCCAAACCAGATGCGGTAGTAGAACTCCTTGATGCGGTCGTTGCGGTCACCCATGACCTCACGGATAGGAGCGTATCCCGTCTCCGGGTGATAGGTGAACAGGAAGGTTAGGGGCACCACGCCACCTTCAGCAGTGCGTCCCTCGAATAGAGTAAGGCTGACTTGACCATTCTCGTTCATCCGAGCCTCGACGGTCTTCACCAGCTTGCCAGATTGGTAAGGCTCCCGCACGCTGATGACTGTCTTGGTCGGATCGCTGGGATTGGCAATTTCCACGTACATGCCTCCGTTAGGAGCCACAATCCGCTTCATCGGGTTGGTCTGGAAGCGGTGACCCTGGACAAAAACGTCCGCCAGGAAAAGTGCGTGTCTCCAGGAATAGGAGTCGCCAGCCAAAAGGCGCAGCCAACGGTCGGAATCTGGCAAGGCGGCAGACGGGGAGGATGACAGCCGGAAGCTGATTTTGGTTGGCTCTTCTGAAATGGTGAGCCCGTCCAGCTCCGGCTCGTCATCAGAGGTGGCAATCTGCCCCCCGAAGTACTCAATCAGGGGAATCTTGGACTCGTCTCCTCCATAGACATCCTTGATCAGACCCGCGATATGACCCTTGTGGACACCGTCGAGGATGTCCTTGACCGGCTCGTCAATGACATTGGAGAACCGGGCAGCCATGGGGCCCTGCAAGATACAGGTTCGGCCGACATCCTGACCGACAACGGCCTCGAGATCTTCACTCTGCCATAGCGAGTCTTTCTTGAACCAGTACTCGAAACTTTCGTCAAGCGCCGGAACGAAGGGAACAGGCTTCTGTCCCCTGCGTTGGCAGAGCAGCAGGAAGTGTTGCACATCCTGTGCGTTGATGAGCTGAGATGCTGCCTCGGGGTACACAGCGAGGATCTTGTCCACAGCGGGATACGGGGTATCGAGCTCGGAGTAATTCTGCAACAGGGAAGCTTGGCCCTCCGTAGTGGTGAAACGCTCCTCGACGCGGCGGAGGAAATCGCCAGTAAGGCGCTTCAGGGAGTCATCGATCCAGCGGGACTCATGCTTGACGTACATGAGATCAACCATGCGGTGAATCACTTCGGTGTAGGTCATGTCCTCCAAGTCCACCGCTTCTCCGGCAGCATTGCGGCCAAACCACACCTTGTGGAAGTCATCGTTCAATTTCTTGATGATGTAGTTTCGCTGCTTCTTGAGCTCGGGAATACGCTTGGCTTTGTCCAGCTTGAAGATCTTCTGGTCCATTTCTTGCCAGAACAAGACACCGCGGGTGGAAAGCTTGTGAATGGGCTCCCCCATCTCAGAGAGAACGGTGATAACACCACCAGCAGCACCCTTGTAAGTCTTCTCCCAGTCAGCGTCGTCCACGCCGGGGGCATCAGCTATAGCTTTCTTGGCATTGCGGGAAGTGTGGGCCTCCTTGGCGATCATCATGCGACTGCCGAACAAGCATCCATCGAAGGGCATCGGAGGATATCCGAACTTGGCAGACCAGGTACCTGAGAGGTAGGGATAAGTGTCCTCGGAACCACCGAAGCCACTACCAGCGACAAGCACAATGTTGTCTTGCTTGCGGATGCGGCCGTACATCTGGAGAATGGGTTGGTGAAAATCCTCAAACGAATGATGGCCACCACCACGACCACCGGTCCACTGAAGGATGACAGGAAACTTGGGGTTTGCCTTGGCCACATTGATCACTTGCTGAATCGCATCGACGGAGCCGGGCTTGAAGGCAATGTGCTTGATACCAAGAGTCTCGATATACTCATTGGCAACCTCGATGGAAGGAACACCAGCACCAATAGTCAAACCTTCGATAGGCACACCATCTGCGCGGAGTCGGCCGATGAGAGGGATCTGCCAGGCCATGGCACGGGGGTTGACGTAGATCAGGTTGACCGTGATGCCACGACCTGGAGGAATGGCCTTCTCGATCTTGGTGATGGCCTCGGTCATGGTCTTCGCATTGTAGTAGCCACCACCAGCGAGCTCAACATGATAACCGGCCTGCATTGTGGCTGCCACAAAGTCCCACGGAACAGTAGTGGGGGTCATACCAGCCACCATGATGGGGGGAATGCCCAACAAGCGGCTCATTTTGGTATCAACATAGGTCTGACCGGTGGAGGTCTTGATCAGACGTGGGCCATGCTCTTTCACCCAGTCTACGGCGTATTTGACCGAATGCTCATCACGATCAAATAGCTCAGGCGTGTAGCCGACCTCCGCATTAGTACCGTCCATCTCACCGGCCAGAATGA